CCTCCTCTTTCCTCTCTCCTTCCACTATCTCTAAAAAAAATTAGTGGAAAAAATATCCTTGCGTGAGGATTAATAATTAGCTGATACCTATGTAAGATATGCACTATGTGACTTAATTTCTTCAATAGTCCAAATTTAATTCTCAACAGTTGTATTATACACCAAGTGATTTTTATGTAGAGAAAAGTAGGCAAATATTTTACTACTAATAAAGGGAAGAACCTTAATTATCTAAACAAAATTTGGGACAGCAAATTAAGAGAATGTTTTTTAAAAAAAATATTTTTATTGATTTCAGAGAGGAAGGGGGAGAGAGAGAGAGAGATAGAAACATCAATAATGAGAAAGAATCATTGATTGGCTGCCTCCTACACACCCCCACTGGAGATTAAGCACAACCTGGGCATGTGCCCTGACTGGGAATCGAACTGTGACCTCCTGGTTTATATGTCGAAGCTCAACCACTGAGCCATGCCGGCTGGCCGGGCAAGAGAGGATGGTTTTAAATGACCTAATGAAAAATTGACATTTGAGCACGAGGAAGTAGAAGTTAAATGAGGCTGAAAAGGTTTGCTTCCTGGCAGTTATCCTGATCACTGTCATCTCTTTTTTACATCTCTGCATGTGTGAATAGAACCTCACTAGGAGGTTGAGGGCAAGTGGGCAGCCACTTTTCCAAAGATCAGTGGCTTTCCACCAAGTCACACTGATTGCTGGACCCCCACCTCCAGACTCAGTAGGTCTGAGGTGAGGCCTGTGAACTGGCATATTGGGCCAAAACCAGGTGCTGCTGTTGCTGCTTTGGGAACCACTGCGGATCATTGGTTCTCAAATTTGGACATTGGAACTATTTGGAGACATTAAAACAATTGATGGCTGGGTTCCACCCTCGAGATTGAATTAATTGGCCTGGGCATGAGGAGTTTTTAAAAGTTCCCCAAGTGATTCTAATACACAGCAAGGTTTGAGAATCCCTGTTCTAGATTTTATTACCCAGATGGAAAATACCAGTACCTACATCTAAAATTTTACAGTCAAGCAGACAATGGTGAATGTCCTCTCTTGCCTTTTCCCAATCCAGTGGCTCCCAGACTTGTCAGCACATGAGAAGCATCCAGGGATCTTTTGAAAGTTTCAAAACCCCAACCATACCTGAGACTAATTAAGTCACAATCAATAGAGGTGTGACAGAGTGCCAGTATTTTTTGAAGCTCCCTAGGTGATTCCAGTGAGCAAGCAAGTTTGGGAACTGCTGCCCTAATTGTAAAATAAACCATAATCAGAGATGATCCCTCTCTCAGGTTCCCCTCAGCAATACCTTTAGCAGGAGATGTACTTTCCATTGCTGCCTACACTTCCTCTTGCTGAAGCAACTTGGCTTTTGACTGCTCTTGGGAACCAGAGTAGCTCATGTGGAGTTCAGCTTGTGACAGCACCCTTCCTAACACCAGCAGCTGCACGTTAGAATCATCTGGGAAGGTTTTAGGAAATAGTGAAGCCGAGGCCCTATCTCCAGAAACTCGGATTTAATTGTTCTGTGTTAAGGCCCAGGAACCGGTATATTTTAAAAGCATCCCAGGTGATTTATAATGTAGAGCCAGGGTTGAGAATCACTACCTACTTATTGTTGGTTCCTACCCATTTTCCAAAACCCCTAACCCTTCCAACCATTCATTAGTTCATCCCTTTTTTTTTTTTTAATTGCTTCCAGACTTTCCCCATTTCATCCTCTTGCTAAGTCTAGCCTCTTGCCTGGGAATCTCCAGTTTCTTTCTCTTCCTCTTCCTTTCCTTGGGGAAGAGAAGGGTAATAGTTAACTTCTTCTTATAGCCACTTTTTTCTTGCTCTCTACACAGCTGGTTACTATTACAGCAACATAAGGAAATGATGGATGCACAAAATAATTGCTCAGTTAAGCTACTGGCCTTTTAGATCCCCAAGCACAGTGCCTGGGCCGACGGCAGCAGTTCACTGGCTGGGAATAAGGCATGTGCTGGTCTAGGTATAGAACAAATAATATTCACTTTTCACTTTCAGGCTCAGTGGTATGCCTTCACTGATCACTCTTCCCAAGCTGTATCTAAACTTAAACATGCAAATAAGTCACCTGGGAATCTTGTTAAAGTGCAGATTCTGATGTAGTCTAGGGTGGGGCCTGGGATTCTCCATTTCAAAGCTCCCAGGAGCTGCCAACACTTTGAGTACCAAGGCTGTGGACAATCTGGTGACAGGCCAGGTAAGGCCATGCAGATTTGGGGGTAGGGGCTAGTCTTTAAGCTGAGGGGAAAAGCATGAGTTTGGCAGTTTCTGGATGTTCAGCCTGAACTCACGTATGCTCACCTCGGGCAACTGAGATCTATTTCCTGTAAACTTAGATCCCAAGCACAGTGTCTGGGCTGAAGGCAGCAGGCATGTGGTTTTCTGATGGTGACCAGACATCTATACACTGTACACCCTGCCTCTGACTTATGTGACTCTTCATGACACAACACTTATCTGGGAGGTAAAATGGATGGCTACTTTTTACTTTTTAAAAAAGCTTTTCTAGCCCTAGCTGGTTTGGCTCAGTAGATAGAGCATCAGCCTACAGAATGAAGGGTCCTGGATCGATTCTGGTCAAGGGCACATACGATCCCCAGCAGGAGGTATGCAAGAGGCAGCCTATCAGGGATGTTTCTCATCACTGATGTTTCTATCTCTCTCTCATTCTCCCTTCCTCTCTGAAATCAATTTAAAAATATATAAATTTTTTTATAAAAAAGCTTTTGTAACTAAATCCTCAGGAAATATGTAAAACCATAGAAATTAGATTTAAAATAGAATTCATGAATTTGTGGAAAACTCAAGAGGTTAAATATTTCTTCAGAACTCTGTTTTAAATTCTCATTTAATTGGTTAAGAACAAGCCCAGATAAGTTCTGGTTAGAAGAAGTAGCATGCACAAAAGTTCAATTAGATTCCCAGTATACCACCAATAAGTAGCTTACATGTTGGGAAAGTCTGGCTTACTATTTACTTAAAAGTTGTTCATTTTATCAGTTATCACTTATCTGAATTTGATATTTGGTTCAGAAAATTGGAGTGGAGAGAACTTACTTCCATATATCATTGACTTCAGTGGGTGCAAACTCTTTGGATTCCAGCTGAATCATGGCAAAACCACTGATGGCATACAGGGATCCAGCCAGACTGACCAAACTGATGGAACTTCTTTCCTGGGGAAATTCGGTCATTGCTTCCCATCTAGGAATTATTGAAAATAATCAATGTAAAACTAAAGAAATGCCAACTGTATTTACTGACCAATTATAGGTAATTATAAAGAAATTCAAGTAGCATAGGCACCCAAAATTAGAAGGTGAAATTTGCTACTAGGAAATATCTAAATATTATTCCTTTCTTTGAAAGAAATAACCAGATTAGATATAAAGTTCTCAGTATGACAATAACATGTATACTGTAGACAATCTGGAAAATACAGAAAGGTATAGAAGAAAATAAATATCCCCTATGATCATACCTTCCAGACTTAATCAAAAGCAACATTTTGGTGTAATTTTGTCACTTTTTTAAAAGGATACATTTAAATATAAACATCCATTCATACATATGAATGAAACTAAGAAAATAATTACAATTTTGTGTGCAGCTTCTTTAACTTTTTATATCATGAGTTTACCCATATTATATAGTTTTCAAAAACATGATTTTCAATGATTATTTAAGTCCTAGCCATAGAAGTTTCTTGTAATTTTCAGATACTAAAGTCTATTGTAATCAGGCATACATGGTTTCTTAAAGATGTAATAATAGTTTACTCTAATTTTTTCTTCATTGCTAAACTGAGAGTATAAAACTATATATTCATCCAGATGTGTGAGCTCAAAAATTTAAAAAAGACTAATTTTATGTAAATATTTGTCTAATGTTTTCACATTAACTTTAAGCCAATAAAAGCTTAAAAGTTGCCCTAACCAGTTTGGCTCAGTGGATAGAGCGTCAGCCTGCGGACTCAAGGGTCCCAGGTTCGATTCCGGTCAAGGGCATGTACCTTGGCTGCGGGCACATCCCCAGTAGGGGGCGTGCAGGAGGCAGCTCATCAATGTTTCTCTCTCATCAATGTTTCTAACTCTCTATCCCTCTCCCTTCCTCTCTGTAAAAAATCAATAAAATATATTTAAAAAAAAAAAAGCTTAAAAGTTAAAAATTTAAGAATATCATAAAGAGCATAAAAGAATTAAACTTCTGAAGCACTCATGCTTTACAAATATCACAAGCTAAGGTGGAGGTTTTTTCATCCTTAAAGAAACTACCTGTTTCAAATCAAATAACTCTATAGAGACATGTATATCCACCTACGTGTAGATAATTACTCAGAAGTGTTACCTTTGCATGACTAAAGTTAATAATAAGTACGAATTAAGTACTTCAACATTACCTTGAGGGTCATGCGTTCCAAATTACAAACACATGTAATGCAACAAAATGTTAGGCATTTTTACACTCAGTAACAGGAAAAGAAACCCAGATGAAGATATTTTCTCTTTAAGCCTTACTTTCCTGTCCTCCTCTCCCCATGTTCTAGAAAGCTTGACATTTATCCAAAGTTAAAACTTAAAATGTATAGTGATTCATAGGCAGTAACTCACTTATTGGTTGTGAGGTCAAAAGCTTCAACAGACGCTGAAAGACCCTCTTCAGTGACACCTCCTGCAACCACAATTTTGCCTTTATGGATAGCCACTCCGAACATCGAACGTGGGGTTTTCATTGGAGGCATATCTTTCCAGTCTCCTTTTTTTGGGTTGTAGATAAATACTCTGTTTGTACACTTTCTGTAAACATAAGAGACAACAAAATGATCCTTATAGAACCTTCCTTTTTTGAAAGAAGCAATGTCACTAGTCATCTAGCTTTGCTTCTCATATGAAATATGTAGTACAGCAGAGGATCAGAAAACCCCCAAAGTATTCTTTATCTATTTTTTCTTTTTATTGAATTTATTGGGGTGACACTGATCAACCCCAAAGTATACTTAATCTGAACATATGCCACCAAGCAAAGGACAGTTTCAAATGTGAGGACCAAAACTATTTTATAATTTAATGATAGTACTGGAAGGTAGAACACCTTTACTCTGTTGTTGTTAATCCTCACTTGAGGGTATTTTTTCCATTGCTTTTCAGAGAGAGTGGAAGGGAGGGAGATAGAGGTAAAGATAGAAAGAGAGAGAAAGAAACATTGATGTGAGAAAGACACATCAACTGGTTGTCTCCTACATGTGCCCCAATCGGGGGTAGGAGTTGGGAAGCGAACCCGCAACCCAGGTACATGCCCTTGACCAGAAATCAAGCCTGTGACCCTTCAGTGCGTAGGCTGATGCTCTAACCACTGAGAAAACCAGCCAGGGCAGGAAACCCACATAGAGTATATTTTAATCCTGCTACTGAATTCAACAGAAGACATGAATAGAGCAAAATATAAACCATAAGACCTTCATTGTGTGTTAGTAACAAAACGTTTATTTCATTATCTGAATATCCTAAGAATGAATCAGTTAACTTAAAAAGTAATTAGGTGGGAAGGCCGGGGTAAGAGATCAACCGAAGGACTTGTATGCATGCATATAAGCATAACCAATGAACACACGACACTGGGGCTTATGGGAGGCCGGGGGAAGGTCAAGGGGGGGGGGGGAAAAAAGAGGAGACATATGTAATACTCTTTGTAATACTTTAAGCAATAAAACAAAAAAATGAATATAAAACTAAAAAAAAAGTAATTAGGTGAGACTGTACCTATTTTAAAATTTAACTATGTAATATGATGGCTCATTTAATTTCAGTCCATCATTAATAAACCAATGTATTTTAAGAACCCTGGGACTATAGATTAGACAACTAATCATCTGAGTTGATGAGTAATGAGAGTAGTTTTATATGCTAAATGCTACCAGAAAAACTTGGACTCATCTGAATTCTTCTTCTTAGTATGTTCCTTATGTTTCCTTAAAGTTATCCACAATTCACTGATGAAAGTTTAGAATTCCTAATAATAATTGATTAACTGAGTATATTTGGTAGCCAAAAACCAAACAAACAAAATTCCAACTTTTTGTGAGGACAATTTTTTTCTTCAGTCTTAGAACAGACCAGATACCTGAAGTAGAAGCATTTCTTCTAATATTTGACTATGAATATTACTTTAAAATTTCTTGCCCCTCCAGTGTAACTCTGGTTGAGCGCTGACCCATGCACCAGGAGGTTACAGGTGAAATTCCTGGTCAGGGCATGTGCTAGGTTGCAGGCTCAATCCCCAGTAGGTGGCGTGCAGGAGGCAGCCAATTGATGTTTCTCACTGATGTTTCTATCTCTCCCTCTCCCTTCCTCTCTCTGGAATAAATAAAAAAAAAAAACATTTAAGATTTCTTGACTAGAACATGATACAAAGTCATGTTCTTCACATTTAGTGGTGATAACTAGTGCAATTCAGTGCTTACTTTTAGATAATGACTCATTTCAAAGTTCTTGACTGGCATTTGCCAAGCCACGCCTTGGTTAATCATATTCTCAAGATTACTATATTCTTACTGACAAGACTTGTATTCTTCTTACTGACATATCAATTTCCTAGTTACTAATACTTGAAGGAAACAATTTAAGCCACTTGGCAGGGTCATTATGTTTCCTAAATCAGAAGTGCTTAATAGATTTTCCATTTCATTTACTCAGGAAAAAATGCCCCAAGTAAGATTTTTTTTTTGAGCTACAGAACTTTCATTTCAGATACAGTGGGTTTGGCAGTTAATCTTGAACAGAAATTTTGGTCATCCAAAATAAGATTTTACACTGGGTGGGTTTATAATATGGCTTTCCTTTAAACATTCATTTGACGGTAATAGCTGGGATTGAGGAGGACTTCAAAATTTCAGAATGTTACCTTTGACTATAAAATGATTGTATAAAAACTCATTGGTTTTTTGAATCACATTTTAGGTGCCATGTTTGTCATTTTAATTGAATATTAATTGAATATTAACCATTAACTCCAGAACATAGAATTCTTTACTTCTAGTAAAATATTTCCATATTTTACTCTCCTTTCCTGTTTGCCCTTATAATTCTTAAAAAAAAAAAAATCCTCACCAGAGGATATTTTTTCCATTGCTTTTTCAGAGAGAGTGGAAGGGAGGGAGTGGAAGTGGGGGAAAGGGGAAGAGAGAAAGAGAGAGACAGAGATATCCATGTGAGAGACACATGGACTGGTTGCCTCCGCACAGACTCCCAAATCTGGGGGCAGGGAGGGAATCAACAACCCAGGCACGTGTCCCTGACCGGGAATCGAACCTGGAGCCTTCTGTGTGTGGCGTTGCACTTATAATTCTTTTTTTTTTTTAATAATAATTCTTAATTCTGGCTCCCTTTCCAGGATTGGACATCGCTATTAATGAAACAACTTGGACAAATGATGACAAAGTCAAATTAGAGTTTTCAGGGGCAGGAAATATTTCTCTCTATTTAAACAGAAAATCATCAATTTACCAGACAGGCTACTGACTTAGCTGACTGACTTCTAGGATACTCTGAATTCAGGTCTCCCTTTGAGTTATATAATATTTTTCCTTATTTCCTAACCCTTGAGAAGTGCCTAGAAATGTCATGCAAACTTACGACTGGGCACCAGTGGGCATACCAGGGTTAAATATTGTGAATACTCCCTCTGTCCAGGAGTAAAGTGAAACATTGCTGAAGAAATAACTGCCCTATTTTTAGTCACCATGCTTTTCAGTTTTAAGCTCACCCATCTAAATCCTCTCTTATGAATGTGAAGTACAAATCCATGATATTTTTATGCACTATTGTTAGTAATTATATTTTAAATTCTAAATTAAAGAGATATACTTAATTTTTTATCTCCTTTTAGCCAAATGAATTAAAAAAGCCCATTGGTTTTAATGCAGTAAAATATAATTATAAAATAGCTAAATAAAATATTTGATTATGCTCCTAAGTACTCCTTTTCTACTGTAAGACTGCTTATGTTGGAGGTATTATGAAATCATCCTATATAATAAAAGCCTAATATGCTAAGTGTCCAGTCGTCTGGTCGGTCATTCAACCAATCAAAGTGTAATATGCTAATGTTATGCTAAAGCCGCTCAACCGCTCGCTATGATGTGCACTGACCACCAGGGGGCAGATAGTCAACTGGTTGACCAGTTGCTATGACGTGCACTGATGTGACCACCAGGGGGAAGATGCTCTGACCAGTAGGTTAGCTTGCTGCTGGGGTCTGGCTGATTGGGACTGAGCGAGACGGGCCAGACACACCCTGGAGCCCTCCTGTGGTCCCTCCCCAGCTGGCCAATCTCCTGCATCTAGACCTGTGCCCTCTCGCAATCCAGGCTGAGGCCCCCCCGCAAGTGCACAAATTTCGTGCACAGAGCCTTTAGTTTGTAATATACTCCAATAACTTTTCAAAATTTAAAAAATTTCCCCCCAAAGACTTATGGGTGAGAACCAAGTCCCATTTCACTACGGAGACTTAAATGAAAAGAGGAAGGAACCTTTGTAATAAAAAAACACTTGGAGCCCTGACCAGTTTGGCCCAGTGGATAGAGCGTCGGCCTGCGGACTGAAGGGTCCCAGGTTCGATTCCGGTCAAGGGCATGTACCTGGGTTGCGGGCACATCCCCAGTAGGGGGTGTTCAGGAGGCAGCTGATCGATGTTTCTAACTCTCTATCCCTCTCCCTTCCTCTCTGTAAAAAATCAATAAAATATATTTTTAAAAAAACCCAAAAAACAAAAACCACTTGGATGTAAAGCACCAGGAGGGTTCAGGGTACTCACTTGTCATCTGTCTTTCCTCCTAGACAGTATATCATCCCCTTATGTGAAACCACATTATGGCCATAGACTTTGATAGGAAGTTTTTTTACTTCATTCCATTTTGCAGCCCTAAAATCAGAAGATGAAAGAATTTATTTATAAGCTTTCAGTAAAAATATGAATGTTCTAGGCACTCCTATACCTGAATGCTTAGGAAATGGGAATGTCATGCAAACTTACACAGGATCATAGCATAATACTGTATCCAGCGAAGCCTCTGTTTGAAGGTCTTTGCCTGCAACTACATAGATTTTGTCATCTGCCTCTCCCAGACCGAAAAGACACCTCGCTGAAGGCAGAGGTGGAAGGCCAACCCACTCAGATGCAACGGTATCAAGCTGAAAGAAAAAAAAAAAAAAAAAAAGAGGAAATGTGGAGCTTGTTAGCAAAAGGTTACAGATGTACCAGAAAATATCTATACTTTCTGAGGTAGTCAAAGATCTTGCAAGTAAAATACAACCATAATTCAAAAGTATTATATTTTACTTAGAAAAGTGAGAAAATCTACTTGGTTTAACAAAATAGCTGAAAGTAACAAAATGTGTAGGACTTTAAGAAAGGAAAGAGAATAAACTGAGTCACCAGATGTTGGTTAGAACTGTGAAGTTTGTTGTCAAATTTTCATCCCTCGTTCAGGTTTGAACAGGGAATCATAATACTTTTAGGACACTGGCGAAAGAAAGGTTTTCACTGCAGGGAGGGTCACAGTACGTGAGTGATCCCCGCATGCTATATTTAACATGCTCCCCAAGCCAGCATCCGGGACAGCTGGACCTGTCGCTCAGTCCACAGACAACTGGAACGTTAGGCAGTATCTTCTTTCTTCCAAAACTTTTCAGGTTTGCTTTATTGCTTTATGAGATAGGCAGGTGTTCTAGCTTATAACCTCCTAGCCTTTTGTTGAGCATCAACTGAAATACCTTTCTCTTTTTAAAAAATTTATATTAGGAAGTAACTGCTTATTTTTGCTATTGCCACTTCTGCCAGCCTAAGATCGCCTTCTAAGTGTCCGTGCCCTGGGGAGGTGATTTTGATATGTCTGGCATCATTTTCAGCTTACTGTTACTACTACAACTTACTATTGGTAATTTTAAGATTTTCCAATTTGCATTTAGGACATCAAGGCACAAGAAAACTGCTCTCGGAAGGTAGTGCCATCACAGACTTGTTGAGCTCTCTAGTGCTACTTCTGTGCAGCAGAAGAAAAAGAAATAGGGCCCAGAATAAATGGATACCAAGAACAGATGTAGGTACTAATGGCTGTGGTATAGGGAGGGGTCCCTGTGGAAGCCCATCAGTATCTGGTCTAGTAACCTTGGTTAAAGCGAAGTACTAATTAAGACTAGACGAGACGAGTGGTTTAATCCCCACATGTGCATTAGCTTTGCATTTACTAATTTCGATATCTACATTGTGATCACTAATATTTTCATTTTTGAAAAAAAGAAATCCTTTGATCAAGAAAGTGGTGTGCAGTATAGTAGAAAGAATAATGAACAGTTATGGAGTTTTGACTCTGTGACAGGATTTGTACTAAATGCTTTACACGGGTAATCTCATTTAGTTCTCCAGGATAGGCACTTTGATTGTCTCCATTTTACAGATGAGGAAACTGAGGCACAGAAGGGTTGAACATTTGCCCAAGCTCACAGAGCTTGTAAGTGATATCCGAATGCAAGCTACATAAATCCATAGTTTTTGTCTTAAAATGGGAACAGAAACCCTCATGACCCCATGCTGGTGGGTTTATTGCCTGCGCTTTCCAGTATTGATGGGGTATTTCCTGCAGCAGATGGAACAGTAGACTGCCAGACTTTCTGATACGTGAGCTGTCAAGCTATTGAACCACTATGGCTCTAGTTTCCTCATCCTTAAAATTAGGGTTTGGACCTAGATTATTTTAAGATGTGGTGCTATTCAAAGATTTGATGAATCTATTAACTCTATGGAAAAAAAACCCCTCTCTCTTACCTATGTAAAAAAATTCTCATAATCTATTTACAGTATACAATCAAAGGCCATATTACTCCTAACTTAGTACTTTTTAGATGTGAACAAGCAAAAATGCAACACCTGAAATTCTCATACCTAAATTTTCTTATGAGTCATTACCCTCTTTTATGATTGGATTTTTTCTACTTTAATGCATAAAGAGAAACTTAATAATGAGCCTATGATATTATGAATAATTCATAGTTACATTAAGGAATCCAGTAGAAGAGAATCTCTTATAAAATAATTGTTATTTGGGTAGAGAATTAATTTTTTTTACAATGCTGAGACTTCTGCTAACTAAAAACTTCATAGGAAGAAAAATCAATATGACAGAATTTCATTTAAGTTCATTTAATGTCCCCTAGAGCAGTGGTTTCATGCATCAGAATCACCCATGGGGCTCACCCTCCAGAGTTTCTGTCCACAGGTCTGGGCAGGACGATCAGGTGTTTTTATACTGGTATTTTGTTCTACTCCTTGTGCCCTTTAAAAGGAGCAAGGCATGGGCAATGACAGGGAGCTGACCCTTTCAACTTTGTATAACTTTTTATGGTTATAAAAACATCAAGCAGTTTTCTTGAACCAGATATAAGAGGCTAAGTCAATAAAAGTAAGGGTAGTAACAAGATGGAAGAAAATACAGATAAGGCTGTAAATATTCCATGGACCTATTATTTCTAGGTATCTATCTGTATTTTGATGTAATTTTTACTTCCTAGCTATAATTATTCTTTTAAATTGAATTTGCCCTTTTTGAAATTAAAATTAGGGCTTAGGAAATTTTCTGTCCCACATTCAAATACTTATGATTACAGCTTCTATTTTTTTTTTATTTCTAGTTAACATTCTTCAGATCTTTGAAAATTAAGAAGCATGGTTAACATGTATTATTACATTTTTCAAGATTAGGAAAAGCTGGTTTAAATGCCATATTTTGTGAATGCACAGTATTCACACACTTTGAGAGTACGTAGTTACTGTGGTATGACATTCTACACTTACTTAGCTCTAGCCTTCCCAACTCAAGTGCCCAGAAATCCCAGGCCATGACTAAACAAACTCTTTGAGCTAGCCGTAAGCTGCAAAATACTGGCATTGGCATTAGTGAAGATAAAGGTGAAGTCACTGATTCCTTCATAAACTGATCAAGTACAAGGTGTTGATAATATGAAACAAACTCCCTTCAGACAAACTACAAAGAATCTATTAGTTTAGGATTTGTTTTCTAAGAAACTTCTGTGGTTTTACAAAACAGATTAAATTGTAATAATGTCTAAGTATAACTGTGATCCAAATAAATGTGATCATTTATCACATATAAAAAGTCATTGTAAATTCCTAATATTGTGAATCAATTCCAATTAGTGACACTTGTGCAGACAGTTTTTCCTAGAAGGTAATGCAAAGTGCGAAATATACACACAAGTTCTTATCACTTTCAACAAAATTATATTATAGGCAGCAACCATAAATAAGAGGTGACAAATTAGTTTCAGGAAACTTGGAAGAAATTAGAAAATCTGTTCAATTATAGCTTTTTTGGATTGGAATAGGACATCAAGTAGAATAAAATGCAAGCAGCCTGAATACTTCGCAAATCAGCGAAGTGGATGGTGAGTAACTACTTTGCCTTTATATCTCCACTTGTATAAAAATTGCCTTTCTTACCTGGAAGAAGTATGACTGTAGAGGTTGATCTTTATTTTCTTCATCCACATATAGTCCTCCTACCACATATACCTGATTTTGTTGGGTAACGACGCTGGAATGATTTCTGGGAATCTGTTCAGCCAATGCAGTAAGGTAGCATTCATTTTCCGTGGGATCATAAGCCACTGCCGCTGTGTCATTAATCAAGAGGATGAGGTCTTTGACAAACATTCCATGCCTGGGAATGTCATTCAGGTAACCAGGAAGTAAATCTTCATCACCAACATCTCCATTCACCTCACCAGCCCCAGCCTTGTCTGCATTCTTGCTCGGTTCTGGAAGTTTGCCTGCGAAAGCGTCTTTGAGAACTTTGATTTTTTTCTGGAGTTCTGGGTTGCTTTTAATGATATCATCTTTCTCAACATGATCTTTAAAATATTTCTCTGTCATCAGGCGAAAACGGATACAATCAAATACTTCGCTAAGGCTTTTAACTCTTTCTTTGTCTGTTCGCACCCATTTCATCACCGCCTCAAATACCGTTTCTTCCTTTTCTACATTTAGGCTGTCATTTGAAACGACTGAGATCAATTCCTGTGGCGACAGTTGCATGAAGTCCTCTTCCTTACAAATCTGTACAAAGCGATCAGACACAAATTCCCGGGCCGAGATGGCAAGTCTGGGGCAGTCAAGGAGAAGTCCTAATCTTAGGATGGCTAGACAGTTACCAGGAGCCAGTCTTTTCTGAAGATAAGAGACACAGACAGTGAACACGGAGGGGATCTGAAAGCGGCTGGCCAGTGCAAAAATATCTTGCACGTTTCCATCGTTGAGATCAATACTGGCGGAGTAGAGGTACTTGATGATTAAATCCAGCATGGCAGAATCCACATTATCTAGTACCACTTCCTTTTTTTTCGCCTCATCAATGTCAGATAAAAAATACTCACGGAAGTAAGGACTACACGCTGACAAAATCAATCTGTGGCACGGAATACTTTTGTCGCCAGCTTTTAGGGTGCAGTCGATGAATTTTTTCTCATCCAGGAGATCTCTTAGACCATCCTGAAGAAGGGTGGATTGGTAAAGCCGCAGTTCCTCTGCGAGTTCCCGCTGCGATTCCATGTTGGGAGTCACCTGGGTGAGGAAGGGGACACTGAAGGCCTTAGCTCCGCGCAGCACACAGGTCTAGCTGTAAAGAGGCAGAGCAGTGTGCTTTGCCCAGCCTGAAGCCTTTGCAATTTAATCCCACCGGCTAAATATAGATACCAGCTCCAACAACGGGAATTTAGGAGAGCTGGTTTGGAAAGAAGAGTGGTTCTTGCAGCTGTTATAGATGGAAAGGAACAACTGAAACTTTTTATCACGAAGGAAACAGCTCAGAAACAAGAGATTTAAATGAAGTGGAAAGCTTTAAAATACATAAAGCATTAGGAGGTCAGCTAATAAAGGCTACCACAAGAAAATGTCTATTGAATTAACAGAAAACTGAATCATAAAAATGAGTCAGTCCACTAAAAATGGTCTGGTGGCAAGCTACTTGGCTATCTGATTAATCATGCAAAGGTCAAGAATATGGGGTGAGTTCATTTGAATACTCAAGCAAGATCCCCTTTCCAAAAACTGTTACAAAGTTTTATTTTCAACTTACAACAGTGAGGTATATACTTTTCTTTTAGAAACAGGACACCAAAAGACTTCTACTTATGTTCTATAATTATAGTGGTTTTAGAAAAACATTAAAAATAATACCCTCATCATAACTGAAATAATAAGTATAGAGAAACTGCTAATTTTCTAAGACATTCTAAATTATCTTTGTTAAATGGAAAAAGTATAATTGGTATTGAATTAAATTATAAAATTATTTTATTCACACTCTGCCTCACTCTACATAGTATTTGGTGTGGCAAACAATAGCAATAAAATAAGTAAAATAAAAGCTGTCATCAAGACCAAAAAGAAAAAGAAATAGTTTAAAGTCAATACTAGAGAAATAAACCCACACATAAACAATTTGATCACTAAAGATATCCTATGATGTAAAGTGTTTAAGATGATTTTTCATTAAAGAAAAAGTTAAGAACAGATGTAACCCCATGAGAACAATGTTATCAACAGAACATAGCAAAATCAGGATGAAGTGCTACATCACCTGTATAAATTTGGAAAACAGGTCTAATACATGAAAAAGAAAAAAAAAAAGAATGTATAAGTGGAACCATAATTTAAGTTTATTATAATAGAACACCATATTAATTATGGAATGCAGAAAGTATGATTTGAAAGAAAATTGATTTTTTTATATACAGATAGCATCATATACTTATGAAATATTTTATTACAAAATTATATTGTCACATTTTCTGAACTCAGTGGGGCTGTAGAAATACTGTAATATCAATGGTATCTTTTTCTTTAAATAATATTTTATTTTTCAATTATAGTTGATGTAGAATATTATATTAATATCTGGTGTACAACCCTGTGATTAGACATTTATATAACTTACAAAGTGATCACTCCGATAAATCTAGTACCTGCCTAACACTATAGCTGTTATAATATTATTGACTATATTCACTATGCTGTACTTGACATCCCCATGACTATTCTGGAACTACCAATTTGTATTTCCTAATCCCTTCACCTTTTTCACTCATCCTGCCAACTCCACTCCCATCTGCCAATCATCAAAATGTTCTCTATGAGTCTCTTTCTGTTCTGCTTATTTATTTTGTTTTCTAAGTGAAATCATCTGACATTTGACTTTCTCTGTCTGACTTATTTCACTAGCACAATACACCCTAGGTCCATCCATGTTGTTGCAGATGGCAAGATTTTTTTTTCATATTCCATTGCATATATGTACCACTTCTTGGTATTCTTAAACATGCTCAAAAGAACATAAGCTCCATGAAGATAGGGAATTATTTTTTGGGGGGACAGGGGAGTGTTGTTTTGTTCAGTGCTATGCCTTCAGATTAGAGAATTATGTATTTTTAAACTTCAAGATCTCTACCCATGAGTAAAGGTTTTTTCTCTTATTTACATCATAGTGAAGTCAGTGGTACTGTCAGCTGCTAAAACAACAGCTGAAAGAAGAGCTCATTGACTCTTTTTCCATTTATAGATGCCACTACGGTTTTAACACACTAGGAAAAACTCACAGCTGCTCCCTTATTTAAACAATAAGTGACTCATTTCTCTCTACACGTAACACCTAACATTTGAAAAGACTGAATCAGACACAAACACCATGATAATGTTATTTGAGATTATTCCTTACTAGCTGACAATTTTATAGTCACTTTTGCTTGAAAAACTACTTAAACAATATTCCTGGTATCATTTGGTGACCTTATAAATTTTTCCAACAGCCATTTTTTCCCTTAATATAGGTTATCATATAACCCCACCCCATAAAATGTAGAAATCCTTCCCTATTTAAATAAAGTATTTAATAGCTTTTAGTCATTGTTGTTTATTAGATGCAAGTCAGCACTTGCTTGAACCTTATCTTAAATGTTTTTACATGCTTATTCATTTCCCCCTAGACCAGCGGTTCTCAACCTGTGGGTCGCGACCCCTTTGGCGGTCGAATGACCCTTCACAGGGGTCGCCTAAGACCATCCTGCATATCAGATATTTACATTACGATTCAAAACAGTAGCAACATTACAGTTATGAAGTAGCAACGAAAATAATTTTATGGTTGGGTCACAACATAAGGAACTGTATTTAAAGGGCCAGAAGGTTGAGAACCACTGCTCTAGACTAAAGAGGGTTCCTTTGGCTAATTTCAATGATTTGACAAAGGTTCCTTATGATGTTTCTTTATACAAAGCAGTGGCAAAAAGCACTGAGGCCAGAGAAGTCACCACATCTTACCTAACCCAAGAAATCAGAAAACTGATTTTTGAAAACTTCAAAGAAATTTCAATTAATACAAACAAGAATGAAGTCAATAAATGAACTATTTATTTATAAATTATTTAAAATTATTTACTTACAAAATAAAATGTATTCTTGCCAAAACTATATTGAAATTATTTATAAAACTGCTCAAAAGTTTACATAGGGGTTGATATATTCCAGAGTTAGCTACAATTTTTATAGACATGATTACTTAAAAATGACAAGTTTAAGGGTTATAATTTATATTAGAGTTGGCTTACATTGGAGCTATATGATAATATATTTAAAGCAGATTTTTATAATTAACAGTTGTAATTTGATTCCTCCATAAGAATAGTCTTATTCTTTTAAATAATACTTTCAAAACATTAAGTGGTGCTGCACAAAGTTTTTATTAAACCCAATGTGATACATTCATTTACTATCCACAGACTAATAGTTTACAAGTATTAGGAACAAAATAGACATATTTACAAACCAGATACATTTTGATTACAGTTTCAAATATAATTTTTTTAAAAACTGATAGTAAAAGCCTAAATGAAATTTTCTTCAATCATTAAAAAACTCTTTCTTAAAAGCTTTTTCTGTAAATGTAAAAACGATTCCATGCCTTATAGAAGACAACTAGTATCTTTAATCTTGAGATATCTTTAAATAAAAATCCAGCTCAACTCAAGATCAACTCATTACTTCCCAAAGTCCCTGTAGGGTGAATCCATCCTTCAATTTCTCTATTGCAAGCCCCAGTTCTTCTGAAAATACAGGTTCACGATCTTGTTGCTTTTTGGGAGATAAGAGGATGAGATGGGAATAGAGAAGGTAGGCATAGAAGAGGGAAAAAACAAAAAATAGGTTTCACATAAGTTTGTGAATACTAAATGTTAGAAAATAGAAAGTATTTTTTTCATATGCTATAGGTAAAATATCCTTACCTTATTGCCATCAGCAAAATAAGCCTATAAGATAAAGAAAATTATATTTCACATATGTGACATAATATTATAATAGGTCAGTGAGCTAAGGAACAGGTAATTAATTTACAGAACAATTCTGTGACAATATATTTTATATTCTGTTACTATGTGTCTAATGATTTTCTTAATTATCTTTACAATGGTAGCAGAATTTGCTTTTTCAGTCCGTCATTATTAAGATCTTCAAGAGTTGTGCTTTAAACTCTAAAAATTGTGCTTTGTTTAAAGATAAAAAGTATGACTTAGAGGGTAGTGACATATCATCCCTACTTTTTGTTTACAAGAAGATGCTGGCAAAACAAAACAAAGTAATCAGTCAGAAAATGCATAGAGTTTAAGGTAATAGTAGAAGTTTATAATTAAATATTTTATACTAATTTCACATTTTTGTTTAGAAATATATGTTCTCAGAGAGGTATTCTGGTCAGATTCTTAGACCACAATATAAAGTAAGCATTATTATTATTTTGACTATTAATTACATAATACAAATTTAGAAACAGGAAAGTTTATTGTTAAAATAGATATTCATTTTAAGATAAAATACCTATAAATTGAAAGTAATACCTATAAATAGAAAGTACAGATATTAAATTAATTTAACTATATTTAGCATTTTCTATTATTCTAAAAGTATGGAAAACTTTTCACATATCTGAAATCTGAATAATTGTGTTCTCAAACTATTTCCCAGTTTGGTAATTAAAAAATATTTTCACACACACACAAAACCCCTAACTTAAAAAAAAATTACACTCCAACTCATGTTTAAAATACTCTCAAAAGTCTCAAGTTCAATGGTATTTACATACTTAATCTATTATTTAATAAAACGTGACTCAGAATCACAAGAAATTGAGTAACCTCCTTTGGGATGCTCACCACAAAAGCGTCTGGGTGATCATCAGAGTCTATTTCTACATCATCTTGAATTTGTTCAACTGTCAGAGCTTCAAGAGGCTGTGGCTGAAAATCAGATGTTAAAATGCATTAAACAAACAAAAAAATGCATTAAGGAGACAATGTTAATTAAACAAATAATTTTAGTAAAATGTACTGAGAATTATAAATTTGTAAGAGGATAACACAATTGTAAACTATTCAAGTCTTATAAAATTCATTGTATAACATATTCTATTAAAACTAACTTGGGTAATAAAATGAGTCAGTTAAACCTAAGCTTTTAAATCTGAAATTGATATCATCAAAAGAATTAAAGTGACAAATTTACACATCCTCAATATGATATTCTAAAAGAAATCTTACAGATAGAATTATAAAATAATACAGATATTCTAAAAGAAAAAACTCTCATTGAACTTTATCTGATTTTCTTTCATACAGTTAAACAAAACAAAGTTTCCCCCAAAATAATCATTAAGTAGAACCTGTGAAAAGTAAAAGAACTAAGCTTTGTAGGGAATATTATAAAAGGTAAAACATAATATAATACTTATACTTATGAACTTATTTTTCAAATACTGGAGTATCCTTGGTATATTAGGTACTATGCTAATGCTACCAAGGGTTTAAAGTCCCTGACCTTAACTACGAAAGGCTTTTAATCTAGTGGAAGGTGGGGCAAAGGATAAAACATAATTACAAATAACTAAATATTAGGTTGAACCATCTGAAATTGCCATTTTTATTAGCTGAAAATGGTAAAATGTTACTAATATCATTGGTTTAACATACGAAAGTAGCTGTAACAAAAGCAATATCTATTATAATCAAAGAGTTTGGAGAAAGCACAACTTCTGAATTGTGAATCCCAGAAATTTTCATGATGTAAAGGTCTTGATCTAGGGCTTCTAGGATGAGGAGGATATTCATAAGGAGGATTAGGGGAAAGGGTATTTCTGGCAGAGGGGATCAGCATCAGCAAAGGTGAAAAATCACAGGATGTGGCTGGAGAATGATGAATAACCCAGTATGGTCAGAATATAAGCGTCCCATGAGACAGAAGGAACTAAGTAGGGTTCTAGTATTGAACAATACTAGGGAGCATCATTCGCACTAAAGTTCATGTGAACAATGTTCTCTAGAGTTGAACAGTGTACATGTACAACCAGACACTGGCTGTGCAGATAAGGTGAGAAAGGTAGACTGAAGTCTACTGAAATTCTTTAATATTAGCTCAAAAAATTTGGACTTTATTGATAGGTATTTGGTGGGGGAGGGCTGAGGGTAGAAGGGTATTGCTTGACAAGAGAGTGAACTGATTTCATATTCTGAGGTTAGCCTCAGTGTTTCAAGTTATGTTCAGAGCTGTGTGACTGTTACAAGTAATTTAACCTGTCTAAGGTCTCCTTAACTGTGGATGCAGGTGATAATATACTTCATAGTATTGTTGAGAGGATTAAATGAGATGATACATATAAAGTTCTTAGAGCAGTGAATGGCAAACATGTGTTCAACAACTGAATATTCACTAAGAATCTGTTATGTACCAGTTGAGACTGCTGGAGATATAATGGTTAAAGAAAACAGATAAAAATCTTGACTTCATGGAGTTTATTTATAGCAGAAGAGACTGATTAGTGTTACCAAAAATAAAGTAAGCAAGCAGAATGAGGGACAAAAAAGTGACAGGAGTTGCCATTTTATTTATTTATTTATTTGCTTATTTGTTTATTTATTTAATGTTAATCCTCACCTGAGGATATTTTTTCCACTGACTTTTAGGGAGAATGGAAGAGAGAGGGAAAGACAGAGAGAAACATCGATGTGCGAGAAACACATCAATTGGTTGCCCCTTGCATGAGCCCTGATCAGGGGCCAGGCTGGGGAGGAGCCTGCAACCAAGGTATGTGCCCTTGACTGGAATCGAACCCAGGACCCTTTGATCCACTGAACCAAACTGGCTAGGGTGGAGTTGCCATTTTAGATGGATAGTCAGAGAAGACCTCCCTGGAGTGGTGGCTGTTGGAGTAGGGATTTATATGAGGTGACAGAGTGAGCTATTATGGTTGGCTATTATATGTACTGGGGCCAAAGAAGGGGGAAAGAGAGAAAGAATGGGTAGAACTAACAAGCCAAGTATATCCCAGGTGCCAAGCATTTTATAGATATGATCAATAACATTTTTATCAATAATTTTAAAA